CTTCTCTGGGCTGTTCTCTGATTGCGCAGCAGCTCTTCAGCAGCTCTTCAGCAGCTCCACAGCTCTTCAGCAGCTATGCGGCAGACTCCGTGCTCATAGCTTTTGCTCTCCGTACAGCAATGCTCCCCAGCACCAGCGAGCTGTCCTCTGGAGGTCATATAAAAACAAAACGTCTTGACTGCTTTGCTTTTCCCCATTTCTCTTTCCAGTTTTATGAAGTTAGGGATCATCACCCCTCCTTTCTTTAGCCCCCTGTTCATCTCTTTCAGCTGCACACCAGGATAACGGCAGAGCGGGAGGGGTGTTTTTAGAACAGGTGCACTGCCATCTGGGCTTGGTCCAGAGCTCTGCTTTTTGGACCTCAGACATTGGTGCAATATAAAACCCACCACCAGACTGGGTGCACCCACTGGGGAAAAAAAAAATTATAGGGACTACTTGATAAAAGGTCCTGATCGTTATTTCCTCAAGGTGTTTTGTCCAAGCACTGATGTCTGAGTGACAATAAAGAAATAGAATGAATTTCCCTTAATTCTTTTGTGCAATTTCTATCTCAGGGTGTTACATACTATTACTGTATGCTGTTAAATACTTGTGTTTAATTCCAAGGTGACTAAAATAATTATTTTTCTAGTTGCTAAAGCATTTGGAGAGCTTCCAGGATGAAAGTGAGTACAGAAACGCCAAACATTTACTATTCTAACAGATAGCCATCGGTGCTTTATGAACTATCCCACTACATTCAAAAAATATCACTGTGGTTTCACAAAGGGCTTTGAGAACATTCATTTTAAACGGAAAGACTCTATTTCTCTAATACCAAGAACACCGTTAACATCGATCCAGGTGCTCCATGGAGCAATCCAATCTTTTCACTGTGGTGCTACTGAAAATCTGGTCTAGTATTCTGGTAAAACTGCATCTTTCAAAGTTACCAACGTTAAAAAAGGAAATCGTTACATTTTTCATTAATTAAAAAAGGCTTATAATAGCATTAACGATCCTTTCATTGGAGTGTGTCATTTAGGTAATGGCAGCTTAGCACATTAACTTCCCCTGGCTTTGCCTTGGCCTTTTAACTCCTCCAACTGATCATTACCTAATTTGTAAAGTCTCCCAAATGGGTCATTAGCGCTTAAATACATTTCTCCTGCTGTGTGGCACATACCCTAAAAACAGTAGGCTGTCAGAGAGATAACTGGTTTGGAAGTAGCTCTTTCTGGGGAAAAAGAAAGTTAAAGAAATGCCAGATGAAATTCAATTTGTGAAATGAATCATGGCTTGAAACATCCCCAATACATGATTAACTAAGACATCACACAGAATAATCCTTTTCTTTTCCACAAAGGAGGACTGGCATCAGCGCGTGTGCAGGCATATGTGCCCTTGCAAGCACCTGCAACTCCTGCTGCTTCCAGTCCATAACGGCACTCGTGCAACCAGGCAGTCCTCTAATGTGCTAAACTACGAAACCAAGGAGAAAGGCTCCTGGGACCACGTCCCGTGCTCCTGACACGGTGACCATCCCTCTCTGCCTCCCCAGCTCAGCCTAGAAATCATAAGCCAAAGGCAGAGCAACCCAAAACTGCAAAAAATCAGTAGCATTTGGTCCAAGTATATGAACTGCCCAGGGCAATGCAACACTCGCTGACCAAATTAGTGGTATTGTCCACTGCCAAGCCAGAAAAGCAAAAGATCCTTTGGCCTTTCCCAGCCATAGATTATATTTCCATAATTTTTTCTTACTTTACAATGTGATGTAGGGCATGAGACTGAAATAAGTCAGTGTGACTAAGTAAAAGTTCTTAGTACAAACCCATTCATCTCCGAGATATTCATGTGAAACAGTAACTACTGGCTGGCAACATCTGCACTGCAGGAACTTTGGATATGGAGGCACTGAACAAGTTACATGTGCCCACACAAAGAAAATAACATTTAAGGTATAACAACACACCAACTTTTTCAATTACATTCAACTAATAAAACTTTAATACTAGCAAATGCTCCCATTTGTTTATGCAGAAACTTCTTTGTCCTATTCTTTTACTTTCATCAATCTTTCAGACTCCTCCTCTCTGGCTCTCTCAGTTTCACTTCTTTTCAATGGAACCATCACCTCTTTCTGAAAAGGGGCTACTCTGCACTGCTTTTACCTGGTTGGTGGAAGGGCAACATCTTTACGTGTTATGCCCTTAGCAAGGACAAGAGATGAGGTGTCCTCTGAGACTAAAATCATTGTCTGATACGGCCCAATACAGGTGGATCTGCAGAACATTAATTAACACACTAAAATCAACATCCTCACTAGTGTTTTCACAGTAAAGAAATGGCTGTCACTATGAAATTCTCAATTTCCTATTTCCATAATTTTCCCCTGGAATAAGCCATGTATACATTGCAGGTACTTCAGTCACTATGACCTTTATGCAGTATCATCAGAGACAACACACAACCACAAAGATGAAAACCAGAGGACTGTGTGATCAAAGACTTCCAGTTATTTTATAGAAATGCCTTTTTATTTAAGAAATCTGCTTTATAACTTGCTCAGACAAATGTCACGCTGGCGAAATTCTTCCTCTAAGGGAAGATCTACAATCTATAGAATAGTTTTCTTTCTCTGTGTTTTTCAGGAGACTGGATTCATCAAATACAAACTGCTCTTTGATTTGTGTGTCTGCATGTTCAGCACAAAGAAATGAAATACAAGAATGGGGAAAATGACAACACTCTTTATGTACAGGTAGCTTTCTGGCACAGAAGTATCAGCCCGTGTGATCCATTGCAAAGTGCTGAGGCACTCGAGTAGAATGCTGCGGCAGAAACAGGATTTCCTGCAGAGAAAACTGTGCTTTTTCTGTTCTTCACACTGGCCACCACGTTGGCAGGCACATCAATACCCCAGCAGATGGTTTAGGGTAGGGACTGCCAAAACACCACAGGCAGAAAGTCGCTCTTCATGGGAGGATTTCAACTGAGGAACATCCATCTCTTGAGAGGCCATGGTACCAGCTGAAATGTCGCAGGGCCCAGCCCAGAGCAGAAGTAATTGTGAAGAGAACATGTTCACAGCAGAAATGAGAATACAACTTTCCTTCCTTACAGAAGGCTTCAAGGAACCAGCAGCAACCAAAACCTGTGACACAGCTCAGTTTTCCTCTGACTGGGTTACAAATGCCTAGGTAGCTAATGGGCCTGAGACTCAAGGACTTCTGAACCTGCAGTGGCAAGGACTGAGGCCATTTGCACTTTCGAGTGGTGTTTCAAGAGAGTAAGTTTAGTCAACCTGGAAAGGACAAATACAATTACAACATCTGAGCAAGAACAGCCAATAAAGTCTTGTTTACGAGAAAGCTTCTGAATAACTTTTGTGCTCAAAGTTAAAAGGTTGCTTGAGCTCTTCCCTGTATCAGGACTAAATGCCAAAAATATCAGACTCAGGGGGTGATGAGAGGTTGTCAGTTGCTTCACTGGGATATAGTACCATCTCTTGCAAGCTATTTTTTTATTCATTGATACACCAAAACACCTGAAAAGAAGATGATGGCTACACTGGAAAATGTTTACAAGCGTTCCCATCTCTGGGGATCAGCAGTAACCTGCAGTCTCTCCCTCTGAAATGGACCTGATGCCACAGCTGTCCTCAACTCTAGGTGCTCTATTTTTGTAATCTTCCACTATTTTGGAGGTAGCATTCTCAAAGCGCCCAGCCACCGAACTCAAACTAAGGGTGCTCAGCACTTCTAAATCCCCAAAGAGAACCACTGTCTTCATGGTTTGCATATAAAACCAGGAAAAATACCAGTCTTAGCACTGAAGGATGATGCTTTAGGTAACCAGATGCTCTATTCTGACGTTGAATAGCTGCTGCTGAATTATAGGCAACCCCGTAAGTATACAGAACATTTTAAGTCATAAAGCTCCACACTTCATGGATTAAGTAATTCTGAACAATGTGAAAAGTATTATTTGGTGACTTACAGATTTAAAATGACCAAGACAACATTCAAAAGTAATCTGATGCTTGCAGTCTCTCTGCTCATCTCTTTGGTTAGGATGAATATCATTATTACTGGAAAAAAAATAGGAGTTTTGTTTTTTTTTTACAAAAGGTCTTTACACAATTAAATTGAAAGACAAATATATGATGTTTTAATATTTGATTTGCATTTCTTTTCCCACTTGTGAGTTTTCCCAATTCAGTATTAAAAAAAAATAAAAATCAAAGTATCATTTGCTGATAAAAAGGCATTGCAGCATATGTCTAACGTATACAGAATTTAAGTCCAGGTAAATCAGCTATAAATTAGTGTAATTCACATATAAAACTGTTCTTCGTGTTTACATTTTAGGACACAAACCAGTCTCAAACTGTTTAAAGGAGGCACTTAAACAACCTGCACTTGGCCAATTTTTTGGTTACTGAGTAACTCCAACAGCACTTCTCTTTGTAATACGCTCATCAGACCAACACACAGAGCTGATCACTGGGTATTACCAGCCTGAAGTAGAGACTGCAAATAGCTTCAGCCTTTCTTGTTCTTCCTTATTCCCTTCCTTTCAAGGCATGGCATACACACACCTGAAGACAACAGTTGGAGCTTTCCCCAGAAGAAGCCCCAGCAGCTGCCTCTTGTGCTTTCCAAACAGCCTGATGGGCACCACTTGCACATTCTTACACAGGGAGACCCCCGCTCCCACATGCTGTGAAGGGCTGCAGCCGAAGCTAAGCACTAATGCTAAGCGCTACTCGTCAGGCACTAACTTACAAAAACTGCTTCTTTGGTCACGCGTTGTTTAGTAACGAAACAGGTTGGTCTGGAGTGGACAGTATTTTTCTTCATCCTGAGCCATGGCAACCTTCCCAGGTTATTTCAACACTTGGCCACATTGTGTTGATGCAGACCCCATCCCATTTGTCCCTGAGCTGGTAATATTTGTCCCAGTGGTGCTGGCTGTTTCAACAGGCAGTTAATATCCATGTGAAGCCATGTACTTTATTTTCCTGAATATCCCGGGTATGGAGGGGGTGGGGGATACTGTATTGAAGTCTGTGGAGTTGGCGTGTAAGGTGGAGGTAGGTCAGCTGGGTACTCCATTTCATATTCGTAACTGTATGGTGGTGGAGCCACTGCAATGGGAGAAAACAGAAGACATAGTTGAAAATCTTTTAAATCTCCTCGCTGTACAGCAGTGTCCCTCCTCCCAAGGCAAACATCAGATACCTTACCAGGATGTTCCAAGGGCTGAGGATAAGGAATAACAAAACTTTTGCCTTGTTCACCCCAATGGAGACATCTGAGGAGAGCACTGCATTTTTAACTGTGTCGGGCATTTATGAAACAAAAATATTCAGAAACAGCTGAAAATATTTTCTCAACTACTTCTGCTAACCTTAGAGAAGAAGGATTAATTCAGTCATCTTAAAGACAGTAAATGCTGCAGAATGACAGCATGGTAGGAACCAAAGGCTCCATATCAAGATCTCATTAGAGTAGCCTCTACAAATTTTAAGGTCCAGAGGCTGCTTTCCTATCCCCTCCCTAGATGTCTCAAGCAGACTGGCAGTGAGATAGCACTTGAAGAGAAGAAACACAAGCCTAGGATGTTAGTGACAGGGGGAAGAGACTCAAATCCCAGCATGCCATGAAAAGCACTCCCTGTTCTCTGAAAAACCTGGCTGCCACTGTGGCTGAGGCCAAAGGAAGGGCATCTCCTCACTGTCCAAAACAGGTAATGGCAGGGGAGAGGGCTGCAGCCAAAGCCAGGTCAGTCATTACTCCAGAAGTGTTCATGACAGCGGGAAACACAGAAATAATTTCAGAGCTTCCCCATCCTCCAAAAAACTGCTGCTGCTGAGAGGAAGAAGTGCTCAAACTGATGTTTGCAACAGGAACGGGGAGCGTGCAGAGTCAAACTGCCCGGAGGTGAAGAGGCAGAGGTGAGTCATTGCAGGTGCACACTTGGGGAGGAAAAGGCTACAGCCCCAGAGTCTTTATTTTGCTCTTGCTTTTACAGCAGTGACTATTAGATTCTGAAGTAGCCCTTCAGCAATTCACGGTTGAGAATATTCTTCTTTCATTGCTCATCTCTCTATGCAAAACAATGTTGCAATGTTAAGGATGATTATAAACAGTTTTAGTTTAACTGGAAAGTAAGAACATGAGGGAAACAACAGACGCTGGGAGCATTGAACTTGATAAAGGAACACATAATAAACATGCCTGTAAGTATACATAATGCACCTGGGGTTTGCTGCAACCTCTGCAACAGGAGGGAATATAAAGCTAGGGGGATCTCTAAGAGTGGGATGAGGGGACTTCATCCATGAAACACTACTGCCTTTTATTTCAGTGAACTCCCCAGTCATCCCAAGGCAATCGCTCCTGGATTTGCAATTAACAGTGTCACTGAAGCAGAGACATAGCTACACTGCATGAACTCCAGGATGCTGCTTCCAGGGTCAGCTTTGCTCTTCAACAACATAGCCACTTTGACCTGGTGGGGAGCCCAGACAAATGTACCTTGCAGACCTCAGCGGGCTTGGTGAAGATCCACTTTTGGTGCTCCTGTACCCCAATCCTAGACTGATGTGAGTTGACAAGTGTGGTACACAGAGTAGCTCTGCTCAGAGCTAGCTCAGGTACCACCTGATGTACCAGTCTCCACTCACTGTGGGCACAAGTGCACTGGAGCAGACCCAACTGTACCCTGGTGTGCCCCAGAGCCTGTGACAGCTTATTAACTCAGTGCCAGGTCTGACTTAGGCTTTGAGCCTCCACTGGTGCTGCCCTGCATCTGAAAAACCACTACACCAAAACAACGTAAACCCGCAAACCTGCATTGAGCATGTTCACCTCTAAGCTGGAGCTGACAAGCACCACCAGCTCTCAGCCAGCTTTGACCAACACACAGCGGACATCTCTGCACCAAGCTCCTGTCAGCTCAGGTGTGGGGCCAGGCAGATGCAAAGAGCTAGCACGGATCCAGGAGTCCCTCCTGGGACATGCAGCAAAGAGCACCCTGCAGAGATGCCCGTGTGCCTTTGTAGATGTCATCTGGGATCCTGCAGCACCCAGCAGGGCTTGTGAGCTCTGGCTGAGCACCAACCAGCTCGGGCTGCATTAGACCCTGCATGGCACCACTCAAAGCCTTTGCACTATAATCCACAGACCTTATTGTCCAGGTTTCCCCCTCTCTGTGGTATGCCTGACCCCTGTTATATCAGACAATGAAAGGGAGCCGACTGCACGTGAACAGGAGCAAATACATGAACCAGAACACAAAAAGAGAACAACTGATCTGCTGCCAGAGAGCCTCTGGCACCGGGAGAAGGTCTGTCCTGCACAATGCAGCACTGCCCCGAGCAAGGTCTCAACAGGCTGCTGTGGACACCGCGAGCCATACAGCTGTGTGCGTATGCTGCCTCGCCAGACCTCATTAGCCCGCCGAGCAGCGGAATAAATTAGAGGAGCGCTGCACTGATGAACACTGCGCAGGCTGATCTGTCTTGCGCTTCCCAGCAGGGAGTCGTGCTGGTCCCCTCTGGACTGAGAAGAGGCCCCTGCTGTATTCACAGCCCCTACTTGCTGTGGAGCAGTAACTAGGCAAAGATACACTTCTACCATCAACATGTGTGTTCTTCCAGGGGTGTCATTGTGCTTCCTTACCTGGGAACGTGCTGATAGCGTTGATGTGCGTCGTTCGGATGACCCCTACTCGAGTCCCACGGTTGCTCTTCATGCACATGCAGATACAGATGGCAATCCCGGCAATTACTCCCATTATAAATACTATACCGAAAACAATTCCAGCTATCGCTGTGCCTCTGCAAGGCGAATGGAAACATGCAGTCAGTCTCAGCCAAATAATGTTTACAAAACAACATTTTCTCAGGAGCAACCCTCATTTGAGGAAAAAAGTGTGTATTAATTACTGAAAGTGCAGCAAATTTTGATCTGTCAGGCCATCTGAATGGAAGAAATGAAAGACCTGCAGGACCAAAATAAACTTTCTTGAAGGCGCCATTGCAATCATGTCAGATCACTCTGCTGATTTACCCTATACGAAACCTTCCAATTCCAGGGCCTTCTGAATTTAACAACTTTTAAATATTACCAAGAATAATTTCTTCCCTTTCCCCTCATCACACAAGCCTTTTTTTTTTTTTCTCCTAAAAGCATTGGTATGATTTTCTTTTGAAAAGAAAGAGTAAGTGATCCCCGGTGATATATTCCAGAAGCATCCTGAAGCGCCTGCTTGCTGTGGTTCCACAGGAATGGTTTTGCCATTGTTTTATCTTAGGTCAGAAAGTCCTTCTGCTGTGCTTCTGAGCCCACAGACTAAGGAGAGCCTCCTCTTCTTGAGGATGAGCAGCAAGTGGCAAAGCAAATGCCCACTCTTTCACACTGCTGCTGCAGCCAGCACAAGCATTGGAGGTGTAGACAAATTCTTTTAAAACGGTCCAAAAGAAAGAATTTAGCTCAGCCCTGAAGTAATGAATCAGACTTCCCTTGAAATTATATAGAGAAAGAAAAGGAAGCCTTATTGCTCTGACACACAGGAATACAAATCTCACCAAGGGGCACTGAAGAGCTCCCAATACTGTTGAGAGCAAAATCAGCCTTTCTGATGAACCCTAGTTCACTCAGGATTGTTGTCAGGCACCAACAGGGAAGCATATGTTATACGGAAGATGGTATTTATAGCTTGCCCTTTTAAAAAAACAAAACAAACCCAGTGACTTGCCAGAAATATTCTGACTCTGTGCATCTCTTCATCTTCCAGCAAAGACTTCAAGCAGCAACCTTGCTGGCAACTTTTACTGGACATTTTAATCAATCCAAAATGATAGTTTGTCAACATGAATAAGCTCCACCAGAACTTATTGCAGTGCAGGGAATAAAACAGGCACTGCAATACTACAAATATTAAAAGGAGTCTAAAACATAGTTTGGCTTCCCCATACAAGAGTCTGAATAAGTAGCAGGCCTGATTTTCAAAAGCCTGATAACCTATTAGCTTCCAAAAAGTCAACAAGACTCAGGATGGACTCAGTACTTGAAAAAATCAGACCTTTTATTTAGGAAGCTAAATGAGAATTTAAGAGCTTGGTTTTAGGTCCCAACTATTCAGGAACTTGGCCAAGATTTGCAGGACAATTACTGAACTGTATAGCGCAAGTAAACACAGACGATTTGCTGTGTTACTAAAATAGACTGCCAGGGAGCTAAATTGCTCTCTGCTGTTATGTAGCAATGAATGAAGAGTATGCAGGGAGAGTAAACCTGTTAATATTTTGCAGAATATATAAAGGGCTAATTTAAGAAACCTTAACTGATGGCAGCAAGCACCTGGCTGTAAAACCAGTAGCTTGAAACCCTGATGTGATCAAGTGCTTTGCTATTAACCACCATGAGTAACTGCGAAACAACCCCTTCCATCCCCCTGGATCCCCGACAGTTTGCATCTAACACAGTCTGGTGCTCTTGAAAGATGTGACCTCCGGTTTTCCCATCCCTCTCACTCTAGGAACATTATCTCTACCTTGAGAGAAACTGCCATAAGAGAAAACAGTTTGATGCAGGAGACACTTGAACACAACATCCTCTTAATTCCAGAAAGTTTTCTCATATCACAATTAAAGAATCAGGCGTAACGCAAGGTACCCCTCTTACAAACAACAGTGAACTGGTATTGCTTTTGCTACGTTCCCTTAGTGGATGAAATGCTGTGCCCTTCGCTGGGGTGCTGTGTCGCAGGGAGCTCTGTTACGCTGAAATAATCCCTCTCCCAAGTGGACGAAGCAGAACCAGCCACGGCTGACTGCTGGCCTCTGGTCCTGCATCGCACTTCTGCTTTGTACACAGTCTACTGCTGCCCAGCTCCTGCATCCCAGGGACGCTCTGCTCTGCCCGGCTGACCTGCTCAAATCCCAGAAACCACAACAGTTTCTTTCTTCGTTCATGTTTTTTCACTTCTAACCAGCTGCACTCTGAGGAAAACCCAACCTCCATCCTCAAGGCTGGCAGAAGTGGGTAACGCACTGCACAAGTTACCTTCCCACTGCTAAATTAAAAGTTCTGTGAACTCGTGTCAGTAAGCAAAATAAGGAATATCCACTAAAGCATTATTTTGCTGGTCCACACCACAGCTCTTATTGGTATAGCCATGAACCAGAAACAAAAATGGCCACCTACAAGAACATTCACCAGCTTAGCTCTGCTGACAAAACTGGTAAGTGCAAGTCTTACTCATGGTTTTGAAATCAGGACAAAAAGCAGTTTAAATAGCTAGGCCCACTGCTGCTCGTGGATTCAGGTTTTCACACTGCAGTGGTAAATTTAGACCACCTATGGATGGTTACGCAAAGAGAGCCTGAGATGCGGAGCAAAAGATGTAGGTCACTTTTGAAATCCAGTTACAGCCTGACTGAGTAGCAGCAGAAAGGCACACACTGGTCTTGGTGGGTTTCAGATCAGACCCACTGCCACCCATGTGAAGCTGTTCCAGGAATCAAGTGTTTGAGTTGAAAGGGATCTGTTTGAGAGGACTTCAGGAGATGCACTCTCCCACATACCTGTAACAGAACATATACAATGCTGTACCACTCCTGATGGGGAGTCAAAGCGCAAAGCCCTCCTGATTCAGAGACCTGCAGCCCCTGCCACTCACCACAGCCCCCAGCAAAACTAGGAGCACTCTGCCTTTGAACATCAGGCTGCGCCTTCTCATCACCAAATCCTGGCAGGACGATGGTCGTGCAAGAGCTGTCCTGGACACACAGCACAAAAATAAACACTTGTTCATTCTGTGGAAAGCCTGTGGTATGACTAGAATGTATGACAAAAAATAAGCATATATTTTTTATAAAATGGCAACGTTTCTCATCATGCTATTAGGGAATTTTCAAAAATAAATAACCTATAAATTAATAGCCCTTATTTTATAATTCAAAAAATGCTTGCTTTGTCTCTCTACCTCTCACTGATATTTTAAACTTCTGTATAGAGACACAGAGGGATGCAGAGATTTTTCATGCTAACACCACCGTAAAACTGTTCAAGGGAAAGTGCCTAAGAGAAAAAGGACACCGCAAAGTAAAAGACCTAGAAACCACACAGCAGAGTCACAGAGCAACTAGGAAGTTTGAAATAAAGGGAAAACTTTGGAATTGAACAATCTGAAGGAAAACATTATGCAAAGTCCTTTACAGAAGCAAAGCCAATGAAGAGAAAGCATCTGCCTCAGAAAAACAATGCAAGAAAAGTAAGGAAGGAGAAGGAAAAACAATGTTAAAGCCATGGAAATGTCAAGAGAAATAGTCAAGGTAAAAATCAGGTATTCAAAGCAGCAGCTTTCCAACTGCTTTTAGCTGCATCCCACTGAAAAGAATACAAATCTCATTCACTGCTTAACACTTCTGGCCCAGCACAGCCCTGTGCAGGGCACCAGACCTTTTGCTGGGTGGCACCAACACCTTGGCAGTGCTGGAGCCAGGAAAGGCTCTCACCGCTGTTGCAGATGTCGTGGCTGAGGTGCCTGGGGTCAGAGAACCTGTCCCTTGGGGAATCACATAATCACAGAATGTTAGGGATTGGAAGGGACCTCAAAAGATCATCTAGTCCAATCCCCCTGCCAGAGCACGATCACCTAGACTAGGTCACACAGGAACACGTCCAGGCGGGTTTTGAATGTCTCCAGAGAAGGAGACTCCACAACCTCTCTGGGCAGCCTGTGGAAGCCTGGGGAAGTGGTAATTTGGGTGTTTTACACAAGTGGCAGAGGTGCCACCAGTGGTTGCTCCAGCTCGTGATTGCTAGCGTTGAGGCAACTGGGGGGAGAGAGCGAGCCTGAAGACCAGCCCTGCTCTTTCAGGCCTCGACAAGTGAGAATGGAGTTCATTTAGCACCCTTTCCCCCTCCAGAAGACTACTAATTTGGGAGTTAGGCAAGCAAAATAGATGCCAAACTTGCTCAAGATGAGTACTGCCTCCACGGTGATCTCCGTTTTGGGCCCAGTGGATCTCGGAGGCCTAAAAATCTCATGGCTCAATAGGTTCATAGTGTTTCCTTAAGGAAGAATGATTACTGAATAGGCATCCATTTTTAAATGCATTGCCAAAATCTGGGAGCTAAGTCTCCGTGGCCTGTACTGCTATATGGCTGGGACTTGGTAGTCCATTGACATCCTTATATTGCCTGTTTTTCCCTCTTAGGTTCTGCCCTACCTTCACACATGGTATAGTATGGAGCATAAACTTTGCTGAGAACCCTGGTTTATTAGCACAGAACCACAAAGAAAAGAAAAAAACCTTTCAGTCAGCCTTCAGAAAGCCCACAGCCTGCAATGCAGAAAGTCTTAATTTCACTGGCCCTGAGACAGTTCCTCTTGAGACTGCCCCCTCCAACCCTGCTTCCCACACAGGGACCCCCAGCAAAGTGTACACCCCCAAACTCTGCACATCACTGCAGCTGCAGGACGCTGCACAGCGTCTCTCCCTGGCCATCTCCTGCTTCTGAGGCATCCTAACCAGGGGAGCACGGAGAGGTTGGGCTCCAGGTAGGGGTCAGCGCAAACCAGGCAGGGGAAGAGATGTCTGCCAGCCCGGTCTCGCTGCACCAGACACGTCCTTGCATCTCAATGCTGCTTCAGCCACCTCCTGAACCCCTTCCCCCGAGGCCTGAGCTGCCCTCCTCTACTCACACTAGCACTCATGCCCCACACCTGCACCTTCTCCATGTGCCGGGACAGCCCCAGCCACTGGTGCCATATTCTCCTCCGAGGATGCCACAGGGCTGATTTGCACTTGCATGTTCTTCCACTGTC